TCAGATACCCTTCATAAAGGATCCAGCCAGAAAACTCTTATCTATCATATAAAGCGTGGTTTAGACACTCAATCCTCAGCAGAAAAGATCACAAACTTGGGTGCAGACTTCCAAGAAAGCAAGAGTTTTGTTGTTTTTAATTGCCCTGAAAGAGCAACACTGCAAACGATGCCATAACTAAAAGCAACGTGTCCCATTTTGAAAGACCTGAGTGTATGCTAACCGTCCTGTGATACCACAGATGGTTTTAAGTTCTACGCCAGTTAATCAATCAAAATAAATTTCACTGCATTTCTATTGCTGTTGACAGACTACTAGCACATAAGCACAATGTTACCTCTAATAAGGCCATCTTTGAAAATAAGATGTAGCTCATTAACGTATTATAAAATTCTTCCTTGAAGGTAGTATTCCCTTCAACCTCTCTAGATACCTTTGTGTACTCTTTTTGTTTGGTAGATCCTTGGTATCTACCAATTGAAGCGGGGAGGAGGCATAAAACTTGCTCTCAAACTACTTCCATTTTATTAGAACACATCTTTAAGCATCAGTAATGAGATAGCCTAGAATAGTACACACCAACAGGTTGAGGACAAGTCTCTCACTGATCTTCACAAATGGCAATAACGGATATTAGTTTTTCGCAAAACTAAATTTATGGCTGCATTTGTGCACAAATGATTCTTTTACACCTGGGATGTTAAAGATGACCTTCCATAAAATTATGATAGTAAGTTGTAGAGATTTTTTAATGGCTATGATGAGGAAAAGATGCTGTCAAACATCTGTCAGTCTCCCAAAATAATATTGTATGCAATCCCAAAATCACAGAGCCACAAGCCACTTCAATCCCAATCAACAGTATACACCTGTAATATCATCAAGCCAGAAAGGGCAAAGAACCCTAGAATAATGTCAGGCAAGACTGGAGGAGGTGGGGTGGGAGGTTCTGGTGGGGAAGATCATTAATTCACTAGGAAACTAATCTTGAAACACCACTCATTACATTTCTCAAAATAAGCATTAAAACCTTCTGCCTGGTTTTCAAGGTTTTTCATGATTGGCCAATGCCTGTCTGATAAATGGTAGATATTAATAGAGCTGCAGCTATTCATAGAGCTGCAGCTATTCATTTCTTATGCCTTCCCAAGAAGTACCCTCAAGTCATACCTCTGTGTCATGTCCAAGTTCTAGCAATCCCTGCTTCTGAAGCTTTTACTATATAAGAAATGCACATCCCATCATTCTAGTCCACATTTAATTCATACTTCCTCTTTAAATCTCTCCTAATTACTCCATCCTATATCAAACATTTCCTTCTCCAAATCTGTTGTATTAACATAAGCTTTACTATGTCAGCAATTACATATTGCCTTGGGTTATTCTTACTTCCCAACTACATTGAATTTGGGCAAATGGTATAGTAGTACATACTCAATAAATAGTAGCTTTGGACCAAGGAAGGACCTGGCGCTTTTGAGTGCTATTTTAATCCTGTTTTCAAGCTTATATGGTACTCTTATTTTAGACACAGAATTTCAAGATTCAGAAAACCCAACTTAGGGTCACACAGCTACAATAACAAATATTGCTTCAAACTTCTGTAAGAGGGCTTAAGATGTATGCTGGTATGCCCTACGGGTTCGAGTTCCAGCTCTCCTGTGTAACCTTGGGCAAGTTACCCATCCTTTTTAAGCCTGTTTCCTCATCTGAAGAAAAAAAAATATGTAGTCATAGAGCCATAGTAAGGGTGCCTCAAAATAGGGCATCACGGCATTTAGCTAAGTGTGCTCAACACAGGTTAGCTGCCTGGCATGGCTGGGTTTACCTAGATCTGATCACAAAGTCTATATTTCTCTCACCATTCCATAATGCCTTTATGCAGTCTTTTCTATCCCATTTCCTTTTACACACAAAAGCAGGTTGCTTAGAACAACAGTGGGTGTCCAGGGATTAAGTGGAATATACTTATGTGATAAGTATTTTTGATGACACACACACACACAAAACTTCATAAATTTCATGCAGTTTTGAATCAAGAAAATATTCGAATGCCCCACACTAGCATAAGCATGCTCTCATGAAGGTAAAAAAGGCACATACCAAATGATTGACAAGGAAATAGAAACCTAGTAAGAGGGGACTAAGGAACCAACCTTCCCCAAGCATCGACTGTGTTTGGCATCATACTAGGGGACCTCCCAAATGCTTCTCTTTGGTGTTTTACTACTGTATATTTTCTCAGTATGACTGCACACTGTACACATACAACTGAAAAGAGTTGTGACAATCTCATGAAGCATGGTTCTGGCCACTGGACCCAGGATGTAACAACGGATAATGCCTTTAAAGAATTGAACACTTAGTTCAGAGTCAAATGTGGAACAAGAAAGTTTCACTTCTGTTTACCAGTCAAGCAACCAAGTGAAGGGATAAACATTTTTCTTTTTTAATTTAAATCGTATTATATAAAATGCTAACTTCTTGTTGGGACATACTACAGACTATGCATTAGATAAAATTTTCTGACAAACTTCCTATAATATTTTTATTAATTTACACTGAGAGAATATAGCACCCTTCATCCAAAGAACTGAAGGTGCTTTACAAACATTAGCAGTTAAAAAACAATTACATTTAAAAATCTGGATTCTTGCTGTTAAATCTCTTCAACTCCAGGTACACAATTTTCTGGAGGCTGATGATGAAAAGCAATTCTATTTCCCACAATGAAAGAGGCTCAGAAAGAGTTTAGATGTACTTTCACAATACAGGCATTGTCCAAAACCTGGTGCTGGGCTTACAAAGCAAAAACACACAAATCTTAATGCAATGAACAATATTTCAAACCTTATTTCAAAGCAAAACCCAGGATTTAAGACGTCAAAATCTTCCAACAATTCTAGACATCCAGATGGAATAGGAGCTGATGCAGGTCGCATATTAGATATGTTCTTGATCCAGGCTTTTTAGGATCACATCCAAATTAACACATTTAAAGTGGTGAGATATTTCAGGAAAAAGAATTGACCTATAAAAAGCTAGCCAAGAGTTTATCAGGCAAGTAAGGAAAGGGAGTGATTGGCAATTAAAAGTAGACAGTTCTCACTAGAGCCTAGGACAATTTATTAGAAACCAAGTATATCATAGGCAAATAAAAAGTTATTATCCCCATTAATACAATATAAGGAATTTTACATTCAGCCTAGATACAGGGAGTAACAGATGCTCCTGCCTACAAACCTATGACTTGCAAGTATCTTCCACCATATGATTACTCTATATAGTTACATAGCCCTTATTTAGTAGACGAATCCAAATATTCCTTTTAGGCTTACAAAGTCCAATACATTCACTCTCTCTTCCCTTTACATGTCTAATAGTAACAACTATTTTTTTTTTCCATGCAAAAAGCCGTTATTCAGTTGGAGAGAAAAAAAAAACAGGCAGAACAGAGATGGCAGTTAAGGAATGGACAGAATATTATTGGCACATGCCCAACTAGTGACAGACAAATGCAGTCCACCATGACTCAAAAATAAAAGTCACATTACAGGGATAACTAAAACAACTACATCAATCTAAGCTAGGGAGTGTTAAATGGGAAGGGAGGGCTCAGGGTTACTGGTTCCACTGGTACAACTTAAAAGCAGAGGAGAGCAAGCTCTTAAATACAATTTATGGTAACAGGAAAAAAATACTGCAGAGAGCTGTTTAAAGACCACATCGAGTTGTCTGCATCATTAATTTCCAGTGTTTAACAATTAGTAAAATACATATAGCTACATATCCCTGTAAGATTAATACCTTTCCCCCTGAATTGCACTGGGGTCATGGCAATGCCACAAGCTACTGACCCAACAGTTCAAGTGTGTGCAGCAAATGTCTTACTCACTTCTTTCATATAGCTATACAATTAAAAACTACACAAGTAGTTGGGTGGTTGAGGAAAAAAAATCAAAACAGTGTTGTGCTCATTTAATAACAGAAAACCCTGATGAAAAATTATGTGCCAAGAAGCGTAGACTATAAAGATTTTTATTGCATTTTTAGGTAACCTGGAAGTTCTTATCCTGAAGGGGAAAAGTTGGTTTTCAAAACTACCTGAACAGATGCTAAAGTGCTTTATTAATTGGCTGGCTTCACAAAGATTTCCCGGAATGACAAAAATTAATTATAGTAGTAAAAGGATATCAACTATTTCACAAAATGGTAAATTCCAACATCATTTATGACCACAGTCATAAGAGACACTGGAACACTTGTCCTTATTAAGTGGACATTGCATATCAAGAACTGATCATCACAACCCTTTGGATATTCAAATTACTTACACAAAGCCGCAACATGGTATCACAGACCTTTAACAAAAAGGACAATTTGTTTCTTTCCACATTTTTTAAAACCTGCTTCAGATTACAGTTCACAAATACAAGAGTCCTGACTTTTCAACCTTTCCAATTGCAGTTGAAAAATGAACACTTTCTAAAAGTTAAGGTCAAGTGTTACAGCAAGAAAATGATTCCTATTGAAAAGTACATAGATTTTACTTAATGATACTCATGATAGATTGTAAACTGGATTGATCACATTCTACTCAATTGGTATCAAATGAACACATCAGCATTACAAGTATTAAATGTTTTTCTATTACTATAGAGGATATAAACCAAAACATTAATATGGCAGTTATGTTCTTAGGCACAGTTTAGTGATTTTTTCTTTCTTAAATAAATAGTATTGAATTTCAGTTGAAGTTTTAAACTCAGTAACTGAAGGGTCAAGAACTCTGACTAGGAAAAAAAAAAAGAAAGAATTTTAAGCTAACAATGTAAGCTGTTTAAAATTTTTAACACTTCAACCTATCTGGGTTTTATTTAAGATTACTTTATTTAAAAATACAAGGAATCTGAAAAAAGATCAATACAATTATCTTAATGTACAAAGTCATAAGCTGTAGCAGTTTTTAACTGAAATTTAAAAACACAACAAGGAGGGCAGCCCTTTAGACCAATTTATTTTATATCCATTTAAAATATCATCCAACAAAGGACAATGAAGTTTACAGCTGGGACAAGTATACATAACTCGAGGCATTTTCAGTCCATCGTGCCCACTGAATAACAACTTTGCTGCTGAAATTTCTTAAAACTTACCAAACTAAAACAAAAGGCTGAATGATACAAAAGGAGGAGTATTTCAGTGTAGTCTGTTCTGTCAATTGGCTTTTTTAAAAAGGAAACACGTCTTGTTTCCCCCAGACCAGTAAATAAGCAAGAGCTACATGCAGCAGTATGAGTATTAAGACATTTCTCAAGTCTTCTCAGATGAGTCCAAGGTGGGGATGGGATGGGGGAGAAAACTGATAGGAAAACATTGTTATAGACACAATAACAAACAATAAATTTAGATAATTTAAAATAAAAAAAAAGGCAAGAGGCAGCATTTCAGCAGCAAAGTGCTCAATAAAAAGTATATTATAGAGGGTAATACACGAAAGTTGGGGTAAGAAGAGGGCAGAAAAATGTGACCGGTCAGCAGGATGGGCGAAGGCCTCAAAGGAAATACGGCGTCGTAGTTCTGGGAGGAATAACACGTTCTGAATCTGGAACTGCCCGGAATAACTTTGGTTCTCTTGTATTTACATCTTTGAAGACCATTATTGAAGCAATATTTCCACAACGATAGCAGTAATTAGGAGCAGACCATACTGTTACCAGCTTCTCATCAAACATAAATTTATAGCCTTCGTGCACTAGTTGGTGTGCTCTGCAGATGAGTTTTAAGTTGTTGATATGAACAAACTGCAATTTAGAAAGGTTTTGTTAAGTACACAGCATATTCTTTTTAAAAATATCAACCTACATATATAAAACATAAACATTTAAATAAACTATAAATACTGTTACTAAATACAGTTCTCATTATAATAAAACCCATTCTACTGTTACCCCAATAATTTCATTAAGTTATAGGCTATAGAGTCTCTTTGACCTGGGTCTAATTTAAGAGTTTAGAAATCATGCAGTCACATAACTATAAGTTTCTAGAAGAAAAGCATCCTACAAGCACGATCAGACATGAAACAAAGTTTTTATTGTTTAATAATAAATATAGTGTGGCCATATCTATCACTTACTGAGGGTTTAGTATTGTTCTTGCAAAAATCTGAGCTGTATTATCCTTTTTTCAATTTAAGGAAACAGAGATTTAGACAGGATAATGACAAGTTATTTTGAACTTAGCTCTCCATGCTGGATTACTTTCCAGTCTAGCTCCATCCATGTGTATATATGTGTGTGTGGAAATAGTTGAACCTCAAAAAGTTGCCTATTCACAATACATATATCACGTCATTATATTGTACACCTAAAATCAATAAAATGTTAATTGTCAATTATATCTCAATTAAAAATATAAATGTTGCCCTGGTCGGTTTGGCTCTTTGGTTAGAGCGTCGACCATGGACCAGAGAGTCCCAGGTTCGCTTCCCGCTAAGGGCATGTACCTTGGTTGCAGTTTGTCCTCAGCCCCTTTGGGGTCATGTGGGTGGCAACCAGTCGATGTGTCTCTCTTGCATTGATGTTTCGCTCTCTCTCTTCCTCCCTCTCTCCCTCCCACTCTATCTAAAAATAAAAGCAAAAAATGTCCTCAGGTGAGGATTAAAAAAAAAAGTAAAAACTATTTTAAAAAAGTTAAAATATAAATGTTAAAAATAAAGTTGCCTACCTTGCCATTGCTTAGTCTCATTACTAACTGCAATATTTGAAAAATAAAGAATATTTATTTTACATATATTACCAAGTAGATGCCGAAGGAGGTGCTTTCATTATATCATCCCTTCTAATTATTAAGGAAATATATAGATGATAAACTAAATGAGAAATTTTATATCCATAACCACCATAGTTTGAGTAATCTAGACTAGAAGTCTGTTATCTACAGCCACCATAGTTCTCTATGTAGTCCATTGGCAACCAACAAACCACTTTTCTGAAAATACTGGCTTTACCTCATTTGTGACCTTTGCGCCAAAAAGCCAACCTGCTCCTCGGGGACTGATAGCCCAAGTATCCACATCTTCAGGATCTGACCAAACCAGATCACAAAATGCTCCTTTATGAGGAATTTCCTGATTCCGTTCAATGGTTCGAATTTGATCCAGTGTTTTGATATCAGGAGATAAACCACCATGAACACATAAAATCTGCTCATCTATTAACTAACAAAAAAGGATAACAAAGAGTTGAAATATAATAATAAACCCAGTAACAACTAAATTCATCAATAAATCCTAATAATATCAATATAACTAAGATGGCAATTAGACAAAAATATGCAAGTGCTATTGGCAAGAAAATACTTTGAGGTTTTAAAAGATATATAAACTTACAGCTGCTACTGTGAGCATGTCAAAAACTTTGGTACAGTATCTCCAGGCATTAGCATTTCCATATTTGGTTTGGCACTCATCTGCAAAAGAAACAGGAGAGTTCTCAGTAATGAAGTTCTGAGTCTAATGACAAGAATAAAGAATACAGCCCTGGCCAGTTTGGCTCAGCGGTTGGAGCGTCCGCCTGCGGTCCGGAAAGACCCGGGTTCGGTTCCTGCTAAGGGCATGTACCTCGGTTGCAGTTTGTCCCCGGCCCTGGTTGGTCGTGCGGGTGGCAGCCACTCGATGTGTCCCTTTCACATCAATGTTTCCCTCTCTTTCTCTTCCTCTCTCTCCCTCCCACTCTATCTGTACAAAAAATGGAAAAATGTCCTCCGGTGAGGATAAAAAAAAAAAAAGAATAAAGAATACAGCCCTGGCTGGGTAACACAGTTGGTTAGCGTGTCCTCTCAATAGCCAAGGCTGCAGGTTTGATCCCTGGTCAGGCAAGTACAAGAATTCACCACTGAATGTATAAATAAGTGGAAAACAAATCAATGTTTCTCTCTCTCCCTATATCAATAAAAAAATAATTAAATAAATCAAGAATACATCAAATACTAGGACAATAGGAATTCGGCTTAAACTAGGTAAGAGAGTTCAGTTTATCTTTATAATGTCAGAGGATAACTCAAAATATAAAATCAGAAAGTAAAGGGTTATAAATTTATTTTCAAATCTCTCAATATCTGCTTTAATTGTGCTCAAAGAAAAATTCATATTAATAATCTCAACAATTCTTCTGTCTACGTCCTTCAAAGAACTTCTTAACCTCGTTTATTAAAACTTTCAACCATATAAAAATTTTATAAAAGCAGCTAATTTGCTTTTAAAGACTTTTTAAAAGTATATTTTAAAATTGAGGTTAGACAGAGAGGAATAAGAAACATCGACATGAGAGAGAAACATCAATCGGCTGCCTCCTGCACACCCCCTACTGGGGTTTGAGCTGGAAACACAAGCATGTGCCCTAACTGGAAATCAAACTGGCGACCTTAGTTGGGACAGTGCTCAACCAACTAAGCCACACTGGCCAGGGCAGCAGTTATTTTGCTTTTATTTAATTAATTTATTTTTTAAAATTTGTTTTTATTGATTTTAGAGAGAGAAGAGGGATAGAAAGAAACATAGGTAAGAGAGAAACATCAATCAGCTGCCTCCAGCCCAAGCCCACAACCTGGGCATGTGCCCTGACCGAGAACAGAACCAGTGACCTACTGGTACATGGGATGGCACTCACCACTGAGCAACACTGGCTATTTTGCTTTTAATGGTTGTGTGCTGTTTCTAATCCCTGAGGTAACTGGGATTCTCTGGAGCCAGCACACAGATTGTTTATATATATATGTATATCAATTAATATATGTAAAATGATATTCATTCAGCTATGCATATACCATCAACTTAAAAATAACTCCAACATCCATGCCCTGGCCCATCTGGCTCATTGCTTAGAGCATCGGCCCGCGAATCAAAGAGTCACAGGTTCGATTCCGATCATGGGCACATACCTTGGTTGCAGTTCGGTCCTCAGCCCCAGTCAGGGTCATGCAGGAGGCAGCCAGTTGATGTGTCTCTCTCATATCGATGTTTCTCTATCTCTCTCTCTCCCTCCCTCCCTCCCTCTCTCCCACTCTCTCTCTCTATCTCCCTCCCTCCCACTCTGTCTGAAAATAAATGGAAAAATATCCTCAGGTGAATATTTAAAAAAAATAAATAAATAACTCCAACATCCAATGTTAAACGGACTGGTTAAATCAATTATAGGGTATCCATACAGTATAATATAATGCAGCTACAAAAATAACATTAATGAAATAAAAAAGCAGGTCACAATAGCAAATGAAAAAAGCAGGTGTGAGCCTAGCCAGTGTGGCTCAGTGGATTGAACATAGTCCCATGGACTGAAAGGTCCAGGTTTGATTCCCAATCAGGGCATATGCCCAGGTTGCGGGCTCGATCCTCAGTAGAAGGCATGCAGGAGGCAGCCAATCGATGTTTCTCTCTCTCTAAAAAAATCAATAATGAGCCCTGGCCAGTTTGGCTCAGCGGTTAGAGCATTGGCCTGCGGTCCAGAGAGACCCGGGTTCGGTTCCTGCTAAGGGCACGTACCTTGGTTGCAGTTTGTCCCCGGCCCTGGTTGGTCGTGCGGGTGGCAGCCACTCGATGTGTACCTTCCACGTCGATGTTTCTCTCTCTCTCTCTTCCTCTCTCTCCCTCCCACTCTATCTGAACAAAAAATGGGAAAGTGTCCTCAGGTGAGGATAAAAAAAAATAAAATAAAATAAAATAAAAAAATCAATAATGAAATAAAAAGCAGGCTGACCCCATTTTAGTGTGGTGTGTATGCACACACATGTATGTATACAACACACACAAATCACAAATATGTACTTATATATAGAATAGATTCTCAAACTTGAGTGTGCAGAACATTCACCTTTGGTAAATTCAAGGGTCCCACTTCAAAAGATTTGTAGTGGGGTCCAGCAATCTACATGTCTAACAAGCACCCCAGATAATTCCAATTCAGTAAATTGAGGACTACACTTTGAGGCACTGATCTAGAAAAATGTACACCAAAAATTTAAGAATGTTAAGATTTTCCATTTGATTGGGAAAAAAGAGAAAGTTAAAGGGTAAGAAAGTAGAAAAAGATTATCTGTATTTTCTAATTTTACTGTAAAGCACATTTATAACTTAAGTAGTTTTTCCCCCCCAAAGAGGAAAGTAAAACAATGTTCAGAATCAGAGGAAAAGAAAGAAGGTCTTACCATAAAATCCATACACCTGTGTTATCTGTCTACTCTCATGATTTCCTCGCAAAAGTGTAATACGATCAGGCCATTTAGCCTTTAGTGCAAGAAGGTAAGTGAAGGTCTCCAAACTATAGTAACCTCTGTCTACAAAATCACCCTGTAAAGTAAAAGTTTATAGTTACAAACACTACAATAGCAATGCTATTTTTTTTTCTAATTATACCAAAGTGCACAAATTCAGAGAAACAGCCCAAAATAATGAAAATGAAGAGTCACACATTGAATTATTTGGAAATCATTTAGGTTTTAACAAAAATTCAAATAGTAGTAAATAGGTTGTTTTTACCAAGTGTTTGTGCAAGTCCACGATTCAGGAGGCCTACAAGTACCTGCAGTACAATTCTCTCAATGATTTTCCCTGCAAAATCACCATTTTTTCAATTCTCTGCTACCCACAGTAACAGATGTTTCAGAAAGGCCATGTGTAAATCAACATTTTAAAATAAATTTCAAAAATAATTTTAACTGTATCAGAAGATCTGCCAACTTGAAGAAAAGAGATTTTTTTGTAAATACCATAATTATAACAGTGTTCCATGTTCAGCTTTGTATTTAACAATGGCATATGATGACATGCTATTTATACTTCTCATTAACGTTTTACTTGGGCCAATATTAGACCAATAGGAAAACAGCTAAAAGAATAATAGGAAAGTGACCCAGAAACTTTCAGATGGAAAAACATGGCAGAAGAATTCAGAAAAAGTAAAACAGTAACATTACATTCTGAAAGAAAAGTATATATGCATCTGAATAGCAAATGTGTATGTGTGCATATTCATCAATCCACAAATAATAACAAATAAAAATAGATGTGCAAAAAAGTTAGGTAAAATAACAATAAAGATTTATGCCTTAAAAATCAGTAGTTCTAGGATATATTTGGGCCCAAACCATTACTGAGGGCTACAACCCAGTCCTTTGTATACAGCAGTTACTAAAGCAATTATTCTCAATTAGAGGGCATGGAAAAAATGTAGAAAAGTATAGAATCACCTTTTCAGATACTTAAAGTGATTATTACATTCTAATAAAATTATTATATAATTTACATGTAATAAAACAGATCTTTTCCTTTTTAAATAAGTACTTGATATCACTGGTGTTTACATACCATAAATATGTAGTTTGTGTCAGGAACCTGACCTCCAGTTCTGAATAGTTCACAAAGGTCATAAAACTATAAAAGAAAGGCAACATATATTGATTACAAATTCCTATGAAGGAGTGAAGTAATAAAACTGAGAGTAAATTATGTAAAGAAGCAGTTAATTGAAAGGACTGCAAATACAGACATTAAAAAAAGAAAAAAGTGTAAGCAAAGTTGCCAAACACACAGCTCCCAAGCCTTAAAAAAAAAAGCATTAAAATAAAGCTTAATGACTATTAAAGTCATTCCTAGATCATTAATGTTATAGGCCTCACTCTCGAAGTTCTTTCCTACATCTCTTCACCTATCACTTGAGAAGGTGAAATCATTTTTATTTACCAGTTACCTAACTTGTTAGTCAATAAGCTAACCTAACCATCCAGTCACATATTCAGCATCTATTTCAATGAGAGAAAAGATAAGGAAAATATCTTTCAAAGAATAAACTTACATGACACAAAACAGATCAACCTACCTCCCTACTATTGATGTGTACCCTTCAGGACCCACAGATGTGAAGTTTCTTCGCGATATTTAGTAAAAAGAACTATACATTTCACCATATTCTATTTCACTAAAAATTGGTAAATGACAAATTGCACATTTGGTAACTTCAATCAACTAGATTAGTCTAATCTAAGTTTAAAAAAAAAACTTCGATTTTTCTGGAAAAAGATTTTGGATTAAAGGAGCTGACTATAATAAACTATACCTACTACAACTAATAATTTCCTACACATTTATCTTTCTCACTTGAAAATAAAATTACTACTTGAATTTGTAATACTTAAAACAGCACAGAAATCTTAGTAACAGTGAACAAAACTGAAATTTAAATGTTTACTGAAATAAAGCACTCCCCCTTATAACTGTTTCATAGGTTTATAGCAGCGATTTTCAACCTTTTTCATCTCATGGCACACAAACGAATTACTAAAATTCTGTGGCACATCAAAAAATATATTGTGTTTTTGGCCAATTTGACAAAACAAATAGTATAATTTTGATTCATTCACACCTATTCATTCACAGCTATTGCCGTGTTGGCTATTGCCATTTATTTATTTATTTTTAACTGATTTTAGAGAGAGAGAGAGAAAGGGAGAAGGAGAAAGAGAGAGAGCGAAACATCAATGTGAGAGACAAACATGGATTAGTTGCCTCTTGTACGTGCCCCAACTGGGGACCAAACCTGCAACCCCGGCATGTGCCCTGACTGGGACTCAAACTGGCAACCTTTCGATGCATGGGATGATGCTCAACCAACTGAGCCACACCAGCCATGGCTGTCATTTTCTTATTTTTTATTTTATTTCTTTAATTTTTTTTCTTTATTGATTTTAGAGAGAGAAGGGAGAGGGAGAGAGAGACAAAAACATCAATGAGAGAGAACATCGATTGGGCTGCCTCCTGCATGCCCCCCACTGGAAATTTGGCCCACAACCTGGGCATGTGACCTGACCAGGAATCGAACCAGTAACCTCTTGGTGCACCAGTTGATGCTCAACCAGTGAGCCACACCAACCAGGCAGGGCTGTCATTTTTTTATTTGACAATCTAAAGGAAAAGGGGTCAGGGTCAGTGCCCCTGACTAAACAGGAATTACATGTTTTTAAAATTCTTATAATACACCAGTTGAAAATTGCTGGCCTGAAGAGTTACTAGTTGCTGCCCAGGCAGTGTGGCTCAGTGGACTGAGCGTCATCCCATGGACTGAGAGGTCCCACTTATATTCCAGAAAGGGCACAAGCTGGGTTACGAGCTCAATCCCCAGTTAGGGGGCATGCAGGAGGGAGCTGATGGATGTTTCTCTCTCACATCAATGTTTCTATCTCTCTCTCCCCTCTCTCTCTAAAAAAAACAAATTAATAAAAAAATATTAAAAAAGAGACCTGGCCGGTTTGGCTCAGCGGTTAGAGCGTTGGCCTGCGGTCCAGAGAGACTCAGGTTTGGTTCCCGCTAAAGGCGTGTACCTTGGTTGCAGTTTGTCCCCTGCCCTGGTTGGTTGTGTGGGTGGTAGCCACTCAATGTGTCCCTTTTACGTCTATGTTTCTCTCTCTCTCTTCCTCTCTCCCCCTCCCACTCTATCTTAACAAAAAATGAAAAAATGTCTTTGGATGAGGATAGAAAAAATAATAATAAATTTTCTGCCGTGGCCAGTCAGTGGATAGTGCATCATTGGCCCTTGAACCAGAGTCGTGGGTTCAATTCCTGGTCAAAGGCACATACCTGGATTGCAGGTTCAAACCCCAGCCCTGATCAGAGCATGTGGGAGAGGCAACCAATCAATGTCTTTCTCACATATATCCATGTTTCTCTTTCTCTCTCCCTCCTCCCTCCCTTCCTTCCACTCGCTCAAAAAAAAAAAAAAAAAAAAAAAAAAAATCAGTGGAAAACATCCTCTGGTGAGAATTAACAATAACAAATTTTTCTACCTTTTTAAATTAGCAAACTAGTATGTGAAACAAATTTTCAATCTTAGTCAAATGGGAGACTATTTGGAGTCTCACTTTGAAAGGAGTATATTTCCCACCCCACAGATATATATAGGATGTGTCTATGTGTAGCATATGTTTTTTATATATTTTATGCACACACACACACCATATGAGCAGTAAAAAAATCTGTATATCTATATACACACACACTTGTATATATATATGCACATGTATGTGTAACTTTGGCCTAGTAATTTTACTTCTTTGACTATATCCTAAAGGCAAAAAAAAATCAAATGCTATGTAAATATATAGAAAATGTGTTACAACATCATCCAGAATAACAAAAGAAAAAAGCTTCATGATTAACATTAGGAAATACTTTAATAAAGTATGATTTCCTGCCCTGGCCAGTGTGGCTTAGTCGGTAGGAGCATCATCCTATACCTCAAAAGGTAGCAGGTTTGATTTCCAGTCAGGGCACATATCCAGGTTGCAGGTTCAATCCCCTGGGCTGGGTGAGCAGGGACATTTCTCTCGCACATCAATGTCTCTGTCTCTGTCACCCTTCCACTCTCTCTAATCAATAAAGATAAATAAATAATGATCTCCCAACTCAAGGACTTGGACCTTATATGATCATAAATAATGATTATAATGGAACCGATGTAGCAAAACAATAAAATGATTAGGAAAAGAATGGAATACAAAACTATACCTATAATATAACTATATAATTTTACTATGTAAAAACTGACATGTATACATAAAGTCAGGAAAGGAACATTAAAAAGTTTTATAAAATAGCCCAGCCGGTGTGGCTCAGTGGTTGAGCATCGACCCATGCATCGAGAGGTCACCAGTTGGATTCCCAGTCAGGGGACATGCCCAGGCTGTGGGCCAAGTCCCCAGTGGGGGTATGCAGGAGGTGGCCAATCAATGTTCTTTCTCATTGATGTTTCTATCTCTCTCTCCCTCTCCCTTCCTCTCTCTCTAAAATCGATGAAAAAAAAAAAAATCAATCTTGAGAGGTGGATTTTATTCCATCATTAGAGCCAAGTAGACAGTTGGCTAGCTCAGTAGTTTTTAAACTTTTTGGTTTCAGAACCCATGCATAGTCTTAAAAATTAAAGGTTCCCCAAAAGCTATTGTTTATGTAAGTTATATCAATCAGTATTTACCATATTACAAATTAAAATGAATCATTTTTTTAAATCAATAACTCATCAAATAGTAACATACACATATTTTTAATGAAAAATAAACTGTTTCCCAAAACAAAAACATTTAACGAGAAGAGTGGCATGGCTTTTACATTTTTGTAAATCTCTTTTATATCAGGCTAAATACAACACAGCTGGATTCTTATACCCTGCCTCTGCATTCTGTCTGTTGGCACAGACTGATTAAAGTATATGAAGAAAATCCAACTTGTACACAGATATGTACACAATTTGTACACAAAAGAAGTCTTTTATTTTTAATGTTTTTATTGATTTTTAGAGAGAGAGGAACAGAGAAGGAGAGACAGACAGAAACATCGATGAGAGAGAACTTCGACTGGTTGCCTCCTATATGTCCCCCACTGGGGATTGGGCCCACAACCTGGGCATGTGCCCTGACAGAGAATCTAACTGGGGACCTCTTGGTGCATGTGTCAATGCTCAATCACTGAGCCACACATTCTGAGCCAAAAATAAGTCTTTTAATTACCTTTAGAGATATTGGTCCATATTCTTTAATATATCAAAATGTGAAAAGTGGTCATATCATACTCGGATAAATTAGTGTAACACTTTGAGTAGACAACATACTAGTCATTTGGAAAATGAAAATGATAAATCATTATACATCAAAAAAACATATTCATTAATATGTTAATATCACCACTCATCTCATCAGAAGTCTTTTAAGTATTAGAAGCTGTTAGGCTCATGGTGGTGACTCAAATTTTCTAAAACTTTAATTTTTCATTTAAAAACTCAAATTTTGGCATTGGCAATAAATACTGTCAATTGTGTTCCCAGAAGTGACTGGCTCACTTCATTCACTTTTGCAAAAATGGCTGCCAAATATCCATAGCTGGTCATTCATTCTCTCAAGTAAAAATGGCATTCCATAAAAAAAGAGGCTATTTAGTTAATAATGCAAAGAACTGAACAAGCACATTCCCTTGAACAAGCCATCTTTCTTTGGTATGCAGCAGATGTGCTTTATGCAGACTTCTTAGTTCATCACATTCAAAAGAAGTATCTACTGCCCTTGTCAGTTTGGGCTCAGCGGTTAGAGCGTCAGCCTGTGGACTAAGGAGTCTTGGGTTCTATTCTGGTCAAGGGCATGTACCTCAGTTGCGGTATGGGTCCCTAGCCCTGGTCAGGATCGTGAGGGAGGCAGCCAATCGATGTGTCTCCCTCACATCAATGTTTCTCTCTCTCTCCCCACCCCCCCACTCTAATTGAAGATAAATGGAAAAATATCCTCAGGTGAGGATTAAAAATAAAAACAAAAGTTTCTACTCAGGGTTAGGAGTTAAAATTAATAACACTACTTCATCATGGACAATCTTAAGTGATAGTGGCATTGTATTTCACT